TATTCCTATTTCTATTCTAATTCTCTATTCTGCCCAACCAGGTTTACAGGAACCTTAAAGAGACCTAGCACCTTGGGAATGCTTACTTGAGGATGTCAGGCTGGAAGACATATGAATATTCTGGAAGACAGTCATCTGTGTCCACATCAGGAGGAGGTTCACAAGCAAAGCCCGCATGAGCCATGGATAGCTAGCTTTTAGAGGAAGCACGGCACGCTCACAACCAGTCCTGAGATGGGGAGAAAACCCACAATATGATGATGGTTCGTTACACAGTCAGCTAGATGATTCAGAGTAGAATTGGCGTTTTTATCCAGCGAGAAAGCTCTTCCCAAGGATCTGGGATAGGCAGATGTGGATGTTTGATGGTGTTAAGAGGTATCGTTGCAGGAGTTAAGCAGTTCTGAGTAAAGCTGCCTTTTGCAATTGACTGAAGGTGAATTTGTCAATGCTGAGGGTGTTCAAATGGTGTTCCAGATGTTCTGGGATTGCGCCAGTGGTGGGATTCAAAAATGTTTACTATCAGTTCTGTGGCTTGGTGGACATGGCTTGGTGGGCATGGCTTGGTGGGCATGGCAGGGGAAGTGTCAACCCATAAAAATATTTCTATGGTCTTTTTAGAGTTGCCAACAGAAAGTGGGGGAATAGAATAGAATACTTTATTGGCCAAGTGTGATTGGACACACAAGGAATTTGTCTTGGTGTAAATACTCTCAGTATACATAAAAGGTACATTTGTTAAGAATCAAGAATCATAACGTACAACACTTAATGATAGTCATAGGGTACAATCAACAATCAAATCATACTAGGAAACAGTCAAGTGGGAAGGGATGGGTGATAAGGAGTGGTGAGAAGATTAACAGTAATAGTAGTGTACACTTTGTAAATAGTTGAACAGTGTTGAGGGAATTATTTGTTTAGCAGAGTGATGGCATTCGGGGAACAAACTGTCCTTGTGTCTAGTTGTTCTGGTGTGCAGTGCTCTATAGCGTCGTTTTGAGGGAAGGAGTTGAAACAGTTTATGTCCGGGATGTGAGGTGTCTGCAAATATTTTCACAGCCCTCTTTCTGACTTGTGCAGTATACAGGTCCTCAATTGAAGGCAGGTGGGTAGTAATTATTTTTTTCTGCAGTCCTAATTATCCCCTGGAGTCTGTGTCTGTCCTGTTGGGTTGCAGAACCAAACCAGACAGTTATAGAGATGCAGATGATAGACTCAATAATTCCTCTGTAGAACTGGATCAGCAGCTCCTTGGGCAGTTTGAGCTTTCTCAAAGGGGGAGAGCAGTGGGCAGCTTACATTCCATAAATGTTTTCAAAGATAGTTTCTAGGTGACTGAAGTTTCTGCCACACAATATTCTAACTGGAGATTATGATTGATGACTCTTGGCTATGGATGTGTCCCACTGGAGAATAGGAATTACGATACACCCAGGCAGTGCTGGCATGTTTATTCCTAATAAATCTTTTTTAAGTTTTGGAAGTTCAGCTCGAGTCTCGTGATTTAAATGGGTAATAACTGCCGGAGCCCTGACAGGAAAAATACTGCAAAACCTCTATTCCCACCCTACTCCAGGGGAAGGTTACTGCAAAATCCTCATTCCCTCCCCACCCCACTAACCTGCTTTCCAGCTCATTTCTCCTGTGCAGGACAACCAAAAAAGACCCAGCCAATCAGCCGGGACTCGGGAGGCGGAGAATAGATGGGGAGGGGCCAGTCAGAGCTGGTATTTGCTGGGTCTCCGAACTCCTCAAAATTTCCGCTACTGGTTCTCCAGAACTGGTCAGAACCTGCTAAGCACCACCTCTGGAATGTGCCCAATGCACCTATTATTATTGGTACCACCTTTGCTTTCTTTTGCTATAGTTGTTCTATTTCTATTTGCAGACCTTTGTGTTTTGAGATCTTCTCTTGTTCTTTCTCTTCTCTTCTGCTCTCCAAGCACTGCCACATCCACGAACTGGACTTTTTTCGTCTTTCTTAACCATTGTTATGTCTGGGGTGTGACGTGGCAGGTGCTTGTTGGTCTGAATTCTAAAGTCCCAGATCGCCTGAGCTTCTTCGTTTTTCTCTGAATTTCTCTGTCATTCTATTGTTCCCATTATTAAATTTATTTGCCATCCATCTCAGGGTTCAAGGCAACTCTGAATGGCTAGAGTCATGCTGGTGCAGTAGTCAGAATGCGGAATTGCAGGCGGACTCTGCTCACTGCCAGAAGTTCGATCCTGACCAGCTCTTGGTTGACTCAGACTTCCATCCTTTCGAGGTGGGTAAAATGAGGACCCAGATTTTGGGGGGAAGAGGCCGACTCTGAAAACAGCTTAGAGAGGGCCGTAAAGCACTGTAAAGTGGTATATAAGTGTTATTGCTATTGAGGACACTACCAGAAACAGGTGTAAAAAAGTTCAAACTTCACAGCCCTCCAAATCCATTACATCTGCCTCGTTTTCAAGGCAGAAAATAACAGATAGATTCTGCTCCAGAGATCAGCTACTGCAATGCCAAATTGGTTTGGTTTGAAGGGGGTAGAGGAAGGAAAATCGAATTTGTGCCTGCTGTCTCTTATCTCCCATTTCTTTCGAAACTCAAATACAAACTTTGCAGTGAGTAACGCAGATCACAATTCTCACCCAAACTGGCTTTTGAGCCCAAACAGATGCTGCTGCTTTAACATTGGGGAGGGGGGGGGAGTTTTACAAAATTATTGTAAAAATTAGATTTTCTCTCCCTTTTGGAGGTCTTGGGGGAAATGCATGGGGAAACTCCAAGAAGATGAATACTTAAGGGAAAAGGATTCCAAATTCCACCTCTCTGCACAACAAAAACCTTCCCCCCCCCCCCCCCCAGTTTCCATTAATAGGAATGTTGGAGTCCTAGAGAAGGAATGAATGGAGAAGGATCTACCCAGGCATTGAACTGAAGGAGAGAATTTGATGCAACGGGGTTGTTGTTGTTGTTTGCAAGACTGACACTGGCAAAGCAGTCAGGGCGGTTTGAGCAGCTTTGCAAAGAAGGAAAAGATCCAGAAATTCAAATTGAAGTTGAATACTTTAGGGGGCCCGAGAATAATTAAACCCACAAGGAGTTTGTCTCCAGTACAGAAGCACTCATGCAAAGCAACAGAAAGAATAATAAAAATAGAGACGTTGTATATAATAAACATTTTAGGTCTATATTCGACCCTCATCGCAAAGCAAAGCTCTTTGGGCTTCCCCCAAAAGACGAGGGGCCCCAAGAGCGAAAAAGTTTAAGAAAAGCTACTTTGACAAGATGAAGCAGCTGTTGTTCCCAAGAAGGCATTGCAGCAGCTGGGAAATCCCCCTATTTTTGCACCCCCAAATCGATTTCCCTGGGGGAGGGCAGCCCTGCCCCTCCCCCCCTCGGCTAGGATCACAAGGCTGGCCGCCCCTCCCTCCTCGCACAGCTGATGGGCAATTCAAGAGAGGACGAGATTTCCCCACCAGCGGAGGGCGCCAGGTTGCAAAAGCTTTTCTGAGCCCGGTTCCCGTTCTTGCCCTCTCGCCACCCCCACCCCCCCCGAGGCCCCTGGGTCGACACCCCACATGCAGTGGGGAGACAGGGAAAGGGGGAGAAACCCACCCACCCACCCACCCACCCTGGAATTGCACGAGCCTGTTTCGAGCTTCCTTCCCCAGAAGACAAATGAGCTGGGGACTACAACTCCCCTTATCCCCGCCCGCGGTTGCAACAGACAGTGGGAGTTGCAGCCCCCTCCCCCCACTCCAGCACGTACAAGGGTTGCAGAGGGTTGCAATTGGGGGTGCTCTGGCCCACTCCTCAATTCCTCCTCGGTATAGGCGCCCCTCCAGCAATTCCGCTCCCTCCAACTCACCCTCTCGTTTAAAGCAGCTTCTCAGCAGAATTGAGCTTGCTCTCCGGTGCGCCTGCGCGCTGGGTTGAACCCCCCAAAGCATGCCGGGAATGGTAGTTCCTTGTTTGGAAGACTAGGAGGCGCTCGGTTCAATGGGACATTCTAGGGTTGGTCGTTCTCTTGTTGGCAAAAAGGATGCTTTGCCTGGAATCCTATTGGGCAATCTCTTCATTGGACTTAATTTAAAAAAATAAAAGGAATATTCATGTGAGTCTGTGCGTCTTCTTTACTGCACAACGGGCTGACTTTGCTTTTCTAGGTTGCAAAAGGTACAAATTTGCTAATCTTTTTTCTATGGAGGTTCTCAAATCAACCAGGTCACGGCTGGCCCAAAAGGCAACTGGACTGTCTTGGTTTCAGTCCTGTCAGAACGGAAGAAGCTTCTTGGATAAGAAGCGAAATGTTTTCAAGGGGAAAAAAAAATAAGGAAGTCCAGTAGTTGTCTTTTGGGAAAGCACTTTTGAGACAATGCTGATCTTTTTGCTTGCGTCCTTGGCCATCAGGAGAACACCTTGGTATGGACAGAGAATTGCTCTACTCTTGGTTTTCGAACGCAGTCTGAGCTTGAGGAGGAGGAGGAGGAGGAGAAGAGGAAGAAGAGGAAGAAGAGGAAGGAGGAGGAGGAGGAGAAGAAGGAGAAGGAGAAGGAGAAGGAGAAGGAGAAGAAGAAGAAGAAGAAGAAGAAGAAGAAGAAGAAGAAGAAGAAGTCCTCTTGCTACACATTTTTCAGTTGCCAGGAAATCCCACTTAGTTACAACTGGGATCTGGAGGATTGCCTTAGGAAAGAAGAGGAGAGGAGAAGAAAAACAGGATTTGGGAGAAGAGGAGAAAGCAGTTGGTTTGCAGTTCTATCTGTGACTGAGGTTAAGCATTTTCTCAATGTTGTAACAATATCAACAAATCAACTGATTTGAGGTTTTACACCCAGATTAACAATAGATTACTGAAGTTTTACATCCAGATTAACAATAGCCATTTTAATTAACATTGGATATTCGTGTGATATTAAAAATAAATTTTATAAAAAGACAGGATCCTGCATTATTTCAATAATGAATCACCGCTTATATATTTTTTTAAATGTGCCCAAGTGCAAGAAGAAGAAAGTATAGGAAGACAAAGCTCAGGTGCAAACAGGTAGCGTGGAAACAAGGACAACTGAAACAAGCTTTCAAAATGGAGGGTGTTTCACATGTAAGCAATTTGACCTAGATTCCACGCAGAAAACTTCATCTAAGGCTAGGACAAACATACCCACTCAGCAATCTCTTTCTATCTTGTCCCTGTAGTGCTGCCTTAATCTTATTTGTGTATTATTTATTTGCTTTTTTTATCCCACCTTTTTAACATTTTTTTTAGATTATTTATCATTTGTATTAGATATTAGATTTACTATTGTATTTATTGTAAGATTGATAACTCAAACCGTACCCACAATGTATCCAAGAATTAGTTTCACATCATCCTTAGTGGTGTGAGTGATATTTTTCCCCCATCTTAATCCAGCAGAGCCCGCAGCTGTTTTGGTATGTGAAATCTTCCCACTTTGCTTGAAGATCTTGCTGGTGGCCCTCATAGTGGGAGAATCAGAGGGTTGTCTGGTGGTCAGTTCAGGCTCAGTGGCCACTTCAGAAGTGGTCTTCAGCAGGTTCTGACCAATTCTGGAGAACCGGTAGTGGAAATGTTGAGTAGTTCGGAAAACGGGCAAATACCGCTTCTGACTGGCCCCGCCCCCATCTCTTCTCTGCCTCCCATTGAGTCCCAGCTGATTGGCTGGGTCTTCTTTGGTTGTCCTGCACAGGAGAACGGAGCTGGAAAGCAGGTTAGTG